TTAGGAGCGAATTTTGAGTCAGTGCTGTCCTCATTTTCATGCAGCTGGATGCATAGGAAAATAGGTTTATAGAGGACTTGTAATTGTGACAACAGTGCCACCCCATGACTAAGTAGCTACCATGAATATAAAACGATTATGGATAAATAAATTTAGGTAACTTTTTGTGTTCATTATCAGTATTTATTCACAATGGTGTCACTACTGCCACGATCCCAATTCTACCTCAAATCAACTTTATGAGACATCAGTTGTATAAGGAGAATGCTATCCATTCTGCCAGTTATCCAAGCATGAGTGAATGATGTTCCTGTAAGGTTTGGGGAGAAGACCAGAGAAATTACTTTGTTAAGTATACTAAACTAATTGTAAGCTATATGTACACTTAAATATACTTAACTAAGTAGCTGATACAGGATTTCAACCATGCATGTTTAAAACTCATTGCCATGCCAGAGCTGAACTTCATCTGGGAGAAAAAAATTCAAGTTACCAATTGTAGTCAAAACATCTCTTCGAAGGATTGAGTTCATCTTAAAATACCAGGGATACTGTCATGATGCTCTGAAATTCATATTTGGCAACAACCATCTTAGAAAAAGCAATTTGCTATTGGCATTTTGCAAGAGTTCAGTTTTTATCTCACAGACACATTCAGAAAAAGAAAAGAAAAGAAAAAGAAAGACATTCTTGCCGAACATGAGAAGCTCTTTTCCCTTGTGTGATGTCAGAAAGTTGGGTATGTACATCCTTGGAATGATGTATAAATCCTTTTTATACACAGAACTGTCTTAGAAAACTAGAGATTTTCAGTACAAAAGAATTCATTGAACAAATGTCTGCACATCATTGTTTTATGACTTGCACTGTACACAAGCAGAAGTTGCAAAGTATCCCATTTAAAGGTCTGATTATTGTACAATACTAGGTGAATGCCATCGTTCTGCTTAGGGGGATTCACTTGCTAGTATTATAATAAATACTACAGCAATGCTGAAAATACTGATACAAAAACAGACACAAGTTGACATGACTAACCAATATACCTTATTAAACTGTTCTATTGTTCACAAAGTTTTTGTTTCAATGGTAGTTGTAAAACAAATTTCCAAGAAAATAGTAGAATTTCAATTTCCTTAGTTTGAGTTTAAACAATACCCCCTATTACAAAATGTATTTTAAAACAGTGCCTGCCCAAGAAATAAACAAGCATTATATATGTATAAAATGGAAGATGCATCTTCATTTTTGCAAAATAGTGCACTTGAATCCCAGAAAGAATTGCCTTGATTGTGGAATGATAAGCCAACATTGCCAGAGTAGAAATAGGGTTCCAACTAGCAACATTTTCTACTGACATGAAAAATACAAATGAATAGCCATCAAATATATTGTTCACTTTACATTAACAGATTAATACTGAGATCTCAACACAGAAATAATTTAATTGACAGTTTATGTCCAAGACCTGTTTTAATGTTATTAGGCAGAAAGTATACCATGATGCTCAATGGTAAGTGAGAAGCAAGTATCAGCACAGAGGTTCTGATTGAGAAAGTCCTTCATGAAATTTAATGAAATGCAGCATCAGCTGAAGCTACGTTTGCAATTTAGCACTGCCCTGGAAGAAGAAACACAGGGTTTTTTTAAAAAAAAATCTGTATAACAATCTGCTCAGTTTAGGCTTACCATGTGTGATTGCCCAGAGGTTACCAAAATAAGCTTTTATGCAAACAATGTGACTGGTGGGAGTGGGGATCACATCCGAATCTTCCTAGTTTCAATCAAATTTATAACACTAAAACTATTATGCAATACTGTCATTCAAAATTGCATAAAATGTAGCTACATTTCTTTATTTTTTATCAGGAGATGGGAGAATTGCCTTATCCCTCCCTAGCTGCATACTCCTTGAATGATGTTACAGCATCTACACTACTATATAATTCAATTTGGAACTGAATTACATGGTCATTGTAGACTCATACAGTGCATTTCATTGTGGTTATGTTGCCTTATAAGGGTCTACACTGACCATACAATCACTTCCAAACTGCTTTATAAGGCAGTATAGATCCAGCCTAAGGACCTCAACACATTGATGGGGTCCCACAGGGCAATTTGCCAGCCTTCATGGTGAATCAATGCGAAGCAGAGAAATCTGGGTGTCCTGCATTCCACCTTGCCCTCACACTTTAGGAAGCATCACCATGTGGTTTCCCCCTGTGCTGAACCTGTTGTTCTCTCCGTAACACAGGAAGCCTTCTGTGTTCCAATGGAAGCATCCTCCCACACTGTCAGGACGCTTCCTCAACAGAACCCTGCCAGAAGTACATCACATGATGGTGTCTGGTGGGCTCTGAGAGGTAAGCGTCCTGACAGCATGCTAGGATGCTGATTTCACCTTGTGTGATGAGGTTTTCAATCATGGAAGGAGACTTGGTTAGGAAGATACCATTTTCCCATGCCCAAGTTGTGCAAACCCTGAATTAAGCACAATGTTTGGTTGTATCCTAGTATAGTTAGATCACACAGAAATATTTCAAATCTAAACAAAATTGCTAATGAAGGCCCCATTAAATACAGATGGACTGACTTTCTAGTAAATGTGCATAGGACTGAGTTTACAAGTCATCAACCATATGGAGAATATGACAAAAAAGAATTATGTAAACTGAATACTATTGGCAGTAATTTAAGTCATTCTGCTAATCTTGCATCATAAACAATAGTTTACTAGCATCAGCTGAGAAAAATATGTACACTAAATTCTGGTACTGAGTATTTTTAAGACATTGTTCAGATCAATCCTATGAACATTTACTCAAAAGGAACCACCCTTTGTTCAGCATGAATTCTTTCAAGGTATTGGTTGCAGAGTTTGAATAATTTGAGCATTATTCAGAAGTGTGAAAGTTTTACAATAATTTGACATTCAATTTTATCCTTTACAAATCAGTTTTTGGAGTGTGGTATATCTTACAAATCTATTAACCCCAGGAGTCCTTTCTTTAGTGCATTAATGTATTCAAACTTGCCAATCCCATAATTGTGTGTTAATAGGGAACTCTAAATATGCACATATAAATATCCTATTCAAGCAGACTGAATAGCATCAGACATGAAAAAAAGTGAGCTAGATTCAGCTACACTTTCCCAATAGCTGATGAGTACTGAGAAAGCTTCATATGTTCATGGACTACTAAAAGATACAAATGCAAACTCAGCATTAGTAAAATGGAAGACTGGATTCCAGTGGTGTCTGCTTTTCTCTTTTTATGTAATACTTTTCTGTTTATAGAGTTTAAAGAGGATCTGCAAATAGAAACCCACATCTCAGTGCAGATTCATCTTTCAGAACTCAGGTAGAAATCTACCACAAATATTTACAACAAAGCCTCATGTATTGCACATTGTCCATCTTAACTAAACTACTCATTTAAATACCCTAATAAAGACCTCATACACAAAAGGATTTCAAATTCCTTTAAGGCTGGTACTTCGTGTGCTATTGCATTGATCTGAACATAAGATGCTATTTAACATGACATTAAAAAGGCCTTCCTTTGAAGCCTCCTTCCTGTCTTACATGACTTTAGTTTAGCAAGAGGGAATATGCTTTCAGAGGTCTGTGGGATTCTTAAATTTGGTGGCACTGATTAGTGATTCCATCACTGTCTTTTCATAATGCTTTAACAAAGCAAGTGCTTACAGTTAATAAACATGTCCTGCATCACAATCCTACATCTTAGCCCACAATGATGACACAGCACCTCTTTGCAGATGTTCCCTCAGTTGCAGAATAATGCTGCGACATATGGTATTTTGCTTGACAAATCAGTCATTCTGTTTCATTTTGAACAACTAAGACTCACTCATTAAACAACCTTCAAACTGATATTTTTTTTGACAAAACCCTTATTTTAAAGAAGGTTTGGGCTTAACCTGCATTGTGTGGGGATGGTGGCAATATCAATGCCTCCAAACTATGAGAGAATTTGAAGTTTGTAGTAAAAAAAAAAAGGTCACATTGAGATTTCATATTTGAATAATACCCAAAAGATAACAGTCAATTGGCTTTGTTTAATAAATCACTCAGATCTTAACATGTGGGGACAACACAACTGAAAATACCCGATCCTGAAGAAACATAACATAGGTCAGCATAAATCACTGTCATATCATCCTGCGTGTCGGTGACATTGATGGTGAGGAATAGGCTTAATAATAAACCATTCCATGGAATGATTTCGAGCCCCCAGTGGAGCAGTGGGTTAAACCGCTGAGCTGCTGAACTTGCTAACCGTAAGGTTACAGGTTTGAATCTGGGGAGTGGCATGAGCTCCCGCTGTTAACCCCAGCATCTGCCAACCTAGCAGTTCGAAAACATGCAGATGTGAGTAGCTCAATAGGTACCGCTCCAGCAGGAAGGTACTGGTCTCCATGCACATGGCCTTGGAGGTGTCTTATGGACAATGCTGGCTCTTCATCTTAAAAATGGAGATGAGCACCAACCCACAGAGTTGGACACGACTGGACTTAATCTCAGGGGAAAACCTTTACCTTTACTATTGGAATAATTTAGGGGGAAATCTCAATGAAATAGTCTATATACTTGAAAAGTGTATGTATCTGTGTATATGTATGTATGTATGTGTATATATATATATATATATATATATATATATATATATATATACACACACACACACACATATACATATATATATATGTGTGTGTGTGTGTGTACACACACACACACACACACACACACACACACACACACACACCATGCTTTGGTAAGCCAAGAAGCAACTGACTGGAGTTAGGAAACAGCATCTTGGATTGAATATCCTTCCATCTGATTTAGCAGGGCTTTCTTATGTTTTTCTGGTTCCTCTTATCTTTTGTGCAAGCATGGAAATGGCCAGCAGACTCTCCCCCAACAGATGAGGAAGCAAACTACCAAAAGCAAAGTAAAGCAGAATATTGACAGAAAATCCCAAATACCATTTATTTTTGATTTTGTACCCATTTTGAAGTTTGCAATCTAATCCTCTACTCTTTCTTCACATCTACATTCACAGTCACATTATTTAAAAGGAATAGAATGTTATTTGAAATAGTCTTCAAAAATTTATAAGTGAGAAATTAATGGAAGGAAGGAGGGGGCAGACACCAAACTAGGCCTTTTTGGACATTCACTGGATTTGCTCCCATCCATTTCCTTTGAAGCTTTGTACTGGCTTTCCTTAATTTTGGGACATTATACTCTGGTGAATTCCACAAGACATTTTATTACTCATTTACATTAACATGCGAGCCTACCCCCTCCCTCCCTCTCCCAACCCACACTTTAGAGGGAAAGTTCAGATTTCATAGACAACAATAAAACACTTAAAAAAACATGTAGGTAGCAGCTGATGAGAATTCAAGTCAGTTAAAAAAAAAGACCATGGCGGCCCGTTAAACTAACCACCAGGCTCTGTCTTTAATAAATAATGTGCTGACTCCATTTACCCATCTTGCTGGCCTAAAGACTGAAGCTCAGATGTGTGAAGATTGTGGTGTAGGAAAACATTTTTTCGGCTGTACATGTGTAAAGAGATGGGTCCTCTTGGAGGCTGCCCCAGCCTTCCTATGAAATTAGAATGTTGTCGAGGGGCTGGAACTTGTTCTTTCAGAGCCCCAGAAAAAACTGGGTTGCTCTCAGACAGGGCTGTCAACTTGGACATCTTTTGCGCTTCTGCTGCTACGCCATTCTGACTGACCTCTGAAGTAAAGGTTTCATAAGTGTCTCTTGTGTGCTTGATGCCTTCCACTCTTTCTTTTTCTTTCAAGAGGTTGCCGAGACACACACTTGACAGCTGGCAGCTTTTGCTTTCATAGGAGGATGTTTGGTTGCCTGACATATATCTAAAATGGTCCTCGGTGGGTGTATGTGCTGACTTTCGGTCCTTTGTGTTGAGAGTTTGGCTCGCCATTTTGTTTAGAAATATAGCCTGCAACAGAGAAAATAGAAAAGGGAGTGGTTGGGATGTTAGAAAAATGAACTGATCAACAACAAGGTAACTTGGAGCATGCAAAAGTTCCCAATAACCACAAGAAGCTAATGTTAATTGATGATTAATTTAAACATGAACAAATATCATATAATGGCATTTATTTTAGGCCCATTAAGAAAATAGTCTTGCTGTTGTTTTCACAGTAAAGCAAAACATTTGGAAATGCAAATGTACTTACAGTAACCAAACAGGTAATTTGAAGGAAGGAAATATTCAAATGACACTGAAAACATGTGCTTTGGGGCCATGTTAGAACCCAGCTATGAAAATAGGTAGGGATGTGTTTTGCACATGGACATCTAAAGAACAGTTGATATGAATACAAATTATTTGAATTCAAAATGCAGACCAATCCTCTGTAAAAAAAAAAAAAAAGGCAGCAACTAGCCAGTATTTTCTAAGTCAGTTACAGACAATCTGATATCCTCAGTAAGATTCATAACTCCCATCATGCCTGAACACTGACCAAACTGGATGAGCATTGTAGGTGTTCTAGTTCAAAAAAAACCCCCTCAGTCCATGTCCACTACTGTTGTTTCATGCCAACAAGTGTTTGGTAATCTTGGAGGCCTTCTTGTTCAGAAGGAACTTCTTAGTTGTAGGTAACTCCATGCTACTCTGGTTGGTTCTATAGCAAGTAATCAGAAAGTCAGTTTATATCACTGTTTCACTCATTCTAAGTGCTGGTGATATTGAATTGAGAAATATGTATACAAATAACCCAACCCGTGTTAGATCACAAGGTGTAGCTCAATGTCAAAACATATGCTTATGCTTATGTCCTATGTTCTCGATCAGGTAGCATGCAATGTGAAAGGCCTCAAGGAGTGCTTCTTTGTTAGTCAGATCAGAGATTTTTTTCAAAGAAATAGCCCTGTTAATTTGTCACTGTATAAAAAGAAAGGGAAAGAGAGGGGAAGTGCTTTATATCAGATCAGAGTATTAATGCATTGTGCATTGCAATCCTCTTCTGCAAATGCATGAGACTAAACTTGTGCTAAAATAAATTTGTTAAGCATAAAGCTGCTACAACATACTTTCCCCCAAAATATATTTTAAATTAGATGATAAATACTCAGATCTGATATAAGGCAATTTTTTATGTGTATAAATGTTTTATGTTTATCTGTATATTTATGCTTTTGTTGTCTGCCGCCCTGAGCCCCTCTTCGGAGATCGAGATAGGACGGGATATAAATGTCCGAAATAATAATAATAATAATAATAATAATAATAATAATAATAATATAATAATAATAATAATGTGTCTGGATCTCACAGTCCTCCATAATGTCCGTAGCAATAAGCTTCCATAATGGTTAGTTATTCCTCCCTTTTTTTTAATGATACTTTTTAAAAAATACAGGCAGTCTCTGAGTTACAAACATCCAAATTACAAAGGACTCATAGTTAAGAATGAGGGTGAGACAACAGGAAGTGAGAGAAAACTACCAGCTATCACAGGGACAGAAAGTGAAAAACAAAACAAACACCACAGGGGTATTAACCCTTTCCTATGTTATCACACACACAGAGAGAGAGAGAGAGAGAGAGAGAAGGGGGGGAGGGAATATATGACAGTGGTAGCTCTCAACCACAGAACCTTCACAAACACATTTTATACATGGTTCCAGAATAAAGTTTTCAAATCTCAGGACCTGGTCCTGAGTCAGTCCTGAATAGTCTTTTCTAATGTCATGATGAGAGAGAGGAAGCATGGAATAAAAGGGGTAGCTTGAAAAGTGTGTGCCCTTGATGTTTTTATTTGAATGACATGTTCTCTGCAACTGTGATGATTTAGATTACCAGTCCTGTATTCCCTTATTGGCCATGTCACATAGAACTTTTGATAGCAGGAGTCTAACATTTCTATAGGGTAAAAGGTTCCATACCCTTGGTGAAAAGAAGTCAACTGTCATTACACTTAAAACACGAGACAAGTCTAAAGTTGAGAATTCAGTACCCACCCATGTGTTCACTAGAGAGAAGCAGCTGAAATGCTCATAGAGTTGACCTATATTAAATAACACAGAAGTTTCAGAAAATAATATCCCTGCCTGGGATTATAATCCCTGAAAGAAAACACATTTAAGAGTCTTCTTCTAACAAAGGGAATCTCAGGAGCTGAATTTTACAAAATAACAAGTAAAATTTCCCTTCTGTTGTAGACACACACACACAAATCCCAAATCTATTCATGTTAATTTTGTAAAGTATGCATGCATGAAAGACTGAAATAAAAAGTACGAGAGAGAGAGAGAGAGAGAAACTTTCAAGGGAGTACTTTAAAAGGTACTGTATGTCATAACACTCATTGCAATTAACATATTTTTATGTTTCTCTCTTCATTTAGTAAATAGAAAAAAGTTTTTTAAAGTTCCGGTTTATGTGTGAGAAGCAGCAGTAACATCTACTTCTCAGATCTTTTCTTATGGAATATAATTAATGTAACCGAATGGCCTCATTTATACCTGTACATGAAGTAGTGGAAGGAAATGTATGGCCAACAAAGCTGAAAGTATAGGATGTTTTGCAAAGGTTTGTTGAACATGGATGCTACATTTTATATAAACACAGGAAGCCATGGCTCAGGAGGCTAAGCATAATATGGGTTGAAAAAATCTGAGTATTCAATTTTCTTTTAATACTCATATTCTCTAAGTTCTTCATCCCTAAAATGAAACAATGCACAAATGTTGGTTAATTCTCCAAAAACCAATTTGTAAAGAAAGAAACCGTTCCTCTATTTACATGGAACAAATTCAATAGAATCATGGAGTTGGAAGGGGCTCTATGGACTATCAGGTCCAACTGACTGCTCAGTACAAGATCTCCAGGAGAAGCATTCCCAAAATGAACCTGTCTAATAGGCTTGTGCAATCCTGGTAAACCTTGATCCATTTAGGTATCCTGAATTTAGGTGGTGGCCCCAGTTCATTTTTTGGGAGCCTTTCGAATTTGGGAGGACAAAAAATCATTTTCAACCAGGGAATTTGAGAGGAGAAAAATTCACTTCCCTTTTCTCTTCTCTTATTTCTCTTATTTTTGAAGACATCCAGGCCACCACTCTTGGCAACTGGTTCCATTCTTAAACTGTCTCATTGTCCAAATTTCCTTCTAATGTCTGATTGAAACCATCTATAATTAAAAACCATGAGACCTACTGGGAAACCAGTGAGGGGAAAAGGTGGGGAAAAAGAGGTAGAAAATGACGTAGCGCTCTTAAATATTATTCTCTAATATGATACACACTTAACATTTCAAGCTTATTTTAAAATATTTTTGTACTTCAGCGTACACTGTTTTCTTCTTCTAATAATAATAATGCTGAACATCCAATGACCAAAAGAATCACTTGATTATTTTGAAAAAATCACAAGCAGAAAAAACGCACCTTTCTTTTTTATTCTGTAGGGTTTCACAATGTAATCCATTGTGTTAATTTCACCTTAAACTAATGCCAAAATGAATATATGTGTTACAGAGTACAGGTTTCCAGTCACACAGCAAATAAGAAGTGGTGAAAACTCCACCTCTGCATGCACTGGTTTTCTTTTTATCTGCCACTGTGGTATGTTTGTGTGTATCTGCCTTGAGGCCACCTGTTGACCTATTGCAACACCATGAATTTCACAGGGTTTACTTAAACAAGAAATACTGGGATGTGCTTTTACCAGTTCCTTCTTCTGAAATATATCCTACCATACCTAGTATTCTGGAGGTTTCTTATCTATGTACTAAATAAGTACTGGCCCTGGTTAGCTTCCAGAATCAGACAGTCTGGTGCCTTTAGAATATTTACTGCATTATTAAAATCACTGTATGAAAGGTTTGTAAAACAAACGTTTGTAGAGCTTAGTATCTCTGTGAACTGGGGCCTGCTGCTAAGGATTATGGTAGCAATTCTAGTTTTAAGATTTATGCTATATTTACCATAACCCAATCATATTAGTAAATAGTTCAGGTTATGCAAAATTTAAATAACCCATGTTCCTCATTGAGATACAAACATTTTACCTGAATCCTATTAGTAGTCCAGACTTGAGTCATACAATTGGATCTATCTTCATGTTACTGCACCATTCAATTATTAATATATTCTCGTAAGGACTAACCAGCTGGATTCCAATCTAATTTGTATTGTGGTATCCCTTCCCATCATCTAGACCCCAGAGGTCCCAAAGATTTTGCTCCTCCTCTTCTCTTCTCAGCTGTGATAGCCACTAAATTGCATCTGAAGCCAAATCCTTGACTAACATGTGGATGACTTGCAAGCACAAAACACCCAAGTAGTGTAGAGTCAAAATAGCACCCATACTCTGCAGCCTTATTCACAGAGTGCTAATTTGTTGTTTCTTCCCTTGTTTCATCTTCCTTGTTTACCAGTGCCTTGTTTTCTAGGGGATCAAATCAAGATACTGGCAAAGTTTATTGAGGTAGGGGACTGAAAGGAGAAAATGCATCACCATTTCCCAGGAGCTTTCTAGAAAGAACATAACAATTTAACTACTTTTTTATATTGATATGGCTTCAAATCATTTTTGTAGCTGTGGTGGTTTATATAACTGCAAATCTAATTTATGAGCACTAGTTTAAATCAACTCCTTGGTATATCCCATCTGTCACCATGTCAACTGCTTAATTTACATAACACCTTGGTTTCATGCCTACCAACTCCCCATGCTACAAATGATCCAATATGCAATGCAATTTAGTTGGAGTAGATAATTGTTCTTCATTTAAGTTTGTTAAGATCTGCTCTACTTTATTGATTTTAGGATGCACCTAAACTGTCAACTGTACTTTTTACAACGATTTGAATATGTTTCTATTGATCTGATAACATTGCCTTCTGGCAAAAACCTCCATGCTAGGAAACCAAAGCTGGATGCATCAAAATAACGCATGGTGGAAAAACTATAAGTGTGCTGGAAATG